TAAATCGTATTATAATTGGTACAATTTGGATTTGGGTGAACCGATAGAGCTGGAACATTGACATTTGGAGTTAGGATCATTGAAGGGATGTAGGATTAGCGTCAGGATTCAGTTTATCAAATTAATACTTATAATTACTAAATGGTACTAAATTTGGTACAATTTGAATTTTAGGTGAACCAATAGAGTTAAAATCATGGAAAATTGGAGTCAGGATCACTGTGGAGGTGTAAGATTGAAATATATGGGAAGTTTTAGAAATTCGTACTAATGTGTACTAAATTTGGTACAAATTAAATTGTGGGTGAAGCGACAGAGTTGAACCAATAGAGTTGGAATCCTGAAATTTGAATTTGGAATTTTTTTTTTGGGCGTAGGATCGGGGTATGCATGAAGTTTTGTTGAATGGTTGAAGAGGATACTTATGGAAATAATGTGTGCTAAATGGAAAATTTGGATTTGGGTGAACATTTAGAGCTCGAATCATGAAATTCGGTAATAAATAGTACTCAAATTTAATTTATGGTCGATATTAATGTGTGGATTGTTTTTTCTGACATATCCAGTTTACTGTGAAAATAATATATACATAAATTAAATATTAAATATTTAAATTTTATTAAATATTTCCTACATTCGCTAACGAAGTTGCGGGCATATGCTAGTGCTGTAATAAGATTTGAGTAATAATATATTTAAATCGAACTTAAAGTATGTCACATGTATATGAGTCTTAAGGTTATATCTGTAGCTATCATTTAAAATTTATAAAAAAAACAAACATTTTTAAAGGTGACCACCACTTTCCTACATCCCGAAAAGGCTAGGAAATGTTGAGATTTTTCTAATCGTTCAATACATATGGAGTAAACAGCTGTTACCCAATACCGATTTCATATTTAAATAGCTATCGAAGAACAAAATAACATGAAAAAGTCACAAAAATACGGGTAAAATAAAAACAAAATAAATACGCGTGCTTGTTTTTTTTTTCATTATTTGTTTAGATTTCTTCACGTATATCAGACATTTAAAGTTAAATGCTGCCACCCCACTCACAACACCCCCACACACAGGCAGCAGGTGGGTGTATTTGTACAAACCCAATAAAAGTTTATCAAAGAAAACAACAGTCTATGTATGGAAGTATGGATGCTTTAAAAACCCATAAAAGCATTTTGTTGTTATTTACCAACGTTTATGTTTTAGCTAAATAACAACAACTACAAAATATTTTACAATTTTACAATACAAAGACATTTTGTCATACATCGTTTTACTTCCTTATTGAAAAGTTGTGCTTAGTATACGAAATACATACTACTTTATATAGCATAACCATTGAAGGGATGGATATATGTATGTTTGTACTTTGCAATGGTTACCATCATTTTACCGCAGCTGATGATGTTGCCTTTCCTGCTAACCTACATTTTAGCATTCGAAATGTATTCGTATTTGTAAATATCTCCATTTTTTATTAGCAATGTGTGCATGTGTGCCTTGAAATATTAAAAAAAAAGAAAAAAAACAATAAGGAAAGTAGTAAAGTCGGACTGAGCCGACTATATGATACCCTTCACCACTTTGGGTATATTGTACATATGTATCCTAACAATTGCATGTCTATGTTTCCTCTTTCTCCAACCTATCCTAACTTAATTTAAATTGGAGCAGATTTAAAGCCATCTGCGTAACATGGGGAAAATTTATGGAAAACGATTTATAGCACAATTGATACACGCTATTCGGTACGCCGCGTTATATATATAATGTATATGTGGGAGCTATATCTAAATCTGAACCGATTTTCGAAAAATTAACACACATCTTTCTAGACTTAATTCAGAACGCTGTGCTAAATTTCGTGCAAATCGAAGGATATATAGGGACGTTGGTGCATCATTTACCATAAATCGGACGAAAATATATATGGGAGCTATATCCAAATTTGAACCGATTTTCAGGAAACTTGACACACGTCATTCTAGACCTAATTCATTAGGCTGTGCCAAGTTTCGTGCAAATCGAAAGATATATAGGGTCTTGGGTACACCTTAAATCGGACGAAAATATTTATGGGAGCTATATCCAAATATGAACCGATTTTCAGGAAACTTGACACACATCGTTCTAGACCTAATTCATTTCGCTGTACCGTTGACATAAAATCGGAAGAAAATATATATGGAAGCTATATCTAAATCTGAACCGATTTTTCCCAATTTCAATAGGGTTCGTCCTTAGGCCAAATAAGTGACCTATGCCAAATTTCATCCAATTCGGATTATAAATGCGACCAGTACTTTGTTTACAATTTAACATCGACAGACAGACGGACGGACGGACATGCATAAATCGACTCAGAAAGTGAGTCTATGCTTATTCTTATTCAAAACGAACCATGTGTCTATCTTGACACATATCATTCTAGACCTAATTCATTTCGCTGTACCAAATTTCGTGCAAATCGAAAGATATATAGGGACCGTTGACATAAAATCGGACGAAAATATATATGGGAGCTATATCTAAATCTGAACCGATTTGTCCCAATTTCAATAGGGTTCGTCCTTGGGCCAAATAAGTGACCTGCCAAATTTCATCCAATTCGGATTATAAATGCTACCAGTACTTTGTTTACAATTTAGCATCGACAGACAGATGGACGGACATGCATAAATCGACTCAGAAAGTGATTCTATGCATATTCTCAAAACGAACCATGTGTCTATCTCGATTCCTTTTGCCTGTTACAAACATATGAACAGAGACATAATACCCTGTACCACAGAGTGGTGAAGGGTATCAATATACCTTTTTTAAGATCTTAAAACAATGAGAGTACCGAACAAGTATTAAGAACATGGATATCGATAATGCTAAACTTTCGTAGAAAATATGTTATAATTATGAAATTTCAAAGTTGAATTTTATATGCCAATTGCGGTCACTCTACATGTATATATTCATATATATAGGGAAAACTGTTTAAAACAATAATTTATTGTAAACTTTCCAAATACAGACCAAGTTATATTTTCTTCAGTTCGTTGGTCTCCCGGAAAGAGGAGTTGAAAATATGTATGTACTCGATTTTATTATTTTAGTGTTTCTATTTTTTGAAATGTGAATTGTTTTTAGGGGATTTTTTTAGAAATATGGATTTATTTACGGTTATAAATTATGTAGGTGTAGTAAATACATACATGTACAACAGGGTGTATATAAAACTTTCTCTTTGTTTGTTGCAAGTTTTCATTTTTTTTATTTATTGACTTTTTATTGGAATATAGATCCTTACCAGGTTAACAAATGTTGATGATATAAAAGGGGGAAAAGGGAAATTTTATAGCATAGAAAACTATTTGGTCTAAACGGAAAAGTTTGTTTGCCAAATTTAGGTCGTTTGAATATTTATAAATTGATAAATATTTAATGTTTTTAGTAACAATAACAAATTTATGCTCTCTTAATAATAGTGTATATTATTAAAATATTTTTTTTATAACATAGACATTGCAAAAAACATTATAAATACATTTAATATTTAAATTGACCATAGCAATGGTAATTAGAATAATATGAAGTGAAAATGTAAGAATTTAGTATTTTCGCATAGAGTCGAATGGAGAAAGTTTTACCCATTAATACAGCAACACCAATACAATAATATACATATTATTAATGTATATATTTTGGAGACAGACCGAGTGGAGAGTCGGTGGTCATGGAGGATTTACATGAACTCTTAGTTGGATAAGTCGTAATCAAAATATCGAATAAAATCCAAGATTTTGGACATAGACAAATAAACATCTGGGGAATCGGTTACATTCTTTCTCATAAAAATGGCTCTTATAATCTTAATTATGATCCGAACTGAATGAAATTTGATACAGCTAATTAATTTAGCTCAATGACAACCTCTATTAAAATTTGTGAAGATCGGTTCTGATTTACATATAGCTCACATATATATAGCTTCTGCCAATTTGATATAAATGGTGCACCGAACCCCCCTTATTGGTACGATTGATTCGAGAATTCGCATAGCGTATTGAATTGTATCTAGAATGAGATGTGTAAACTTTCCACATATATAGATATTGCTCACATATATGTTTACTTCCGATTTTTTGTATATGGTTCACCAAGAGCCTATGATTGTTCAATTTTCACGACATTATCTGATTTCAATTATGCAAAACTTACATATATCGCAATTAATTCATTCGTTATCTTATATAATGCATATCGTTGTATAGAATTCACAAATGTATATCTATTTTTCTATTACGAAAAATATTTATATAAATTTGCCTTTTCATACCCACAACATAAACTAGTACCGATGCAAAATAATATGCTTTAATTTAATTCACTAAGGACAGACATTACACCAACATTATTAAATGTACAAACAGGGCTTGAGAATTGTCTAGAAAATAAAAAACATACATTTTAATTGTTACTTTGCATTAATAGAGATCTTTTTGTGGGATATTAGAAAAAAAAAACAAATTTAATGAGCGTGTGAATGAAGTGAAATTGAAAGTCCTAGAACAATTAATTTTTATTAGTTTTTTACAAATATATTTAAAAACTAAGGAACAGATAAAGAACAACAAATTGCCCACGGATCGAGGAAAATTATCAAAACAAATTTCAAATATCAGCATGAACCACACAAAACATATATTTGTCACATCTGGCCTAAAATCCGTGAACTTAGAAATTGATAAGAATATGTATTTCCAGATGCGTAATATGCATATCAACATAGGCAGAACCAGAATTAGATTTTAAAATTAAAAAAAAAAAACATAAATATATAGATGAGCCAGATTTGTGATATGCAATGCAATCTATTTTGGGCGAAATTTTTTGTATAAATACCCACCAGATTGTGATAGAAAACAGCAGTCTTAGGTATTGGTTTTGATCGTTGCATCATCTCTAAGCCGTGGACAGTTTTTGATCTCCAAAGTTGACGAATTGCTCGAAGAATAACAATGAAAATCGCCATCGTATTACTGGCCATCGCTGGCTTGGTGGCAGCCAATGTCTACATGCCAAAACACGAGACCAAATACGCCGATAAGGACTTTTTGGCCAAACAAAAATTCCTTTTCGAAATTGTCTATCGTGTTGAGGATCCTTTGATGTTCGAGGAATACATCAAATTGGGCAAGACTTTCACCTACAACAAGGATGACTACATGGTAAGTAACAATATCCCAAACAAACCCAACTTCCAAATAATAACCACATTGATTATGGTTTTTTTGTTTTGCAGATTCCTGCCACCTACAGCGGAAACATGGAAAAATACTACAACGCCTACAAATACGGTGTCACTTTGCCCAAAGGTGAATTCTATGGTGCCTTGATGGAATCCCATTTCGAACAATTCTATGGCTTGTTCGACTTCTTCTACTATGCCAAAAACTGGGATATTTTCATGCGCAACGTTTGCTGGGCCCGCATGTATGCCAACGAAGGCATGTTTGTCCATGCCTTAACCATGGCTGTCATCCACCGTGATGACTTCGAAGGCTTGATGTTGCCCGCCATCTATGAAATCTTCCCTCAATACTTCTTCAACAGCAAATTCGTCTACGAAGCTGAGAAATTCGATTTTGATGTCTGGAGCAAATACATCATGTACGAAAAGGAATACAAGGACTTCATGTACAAGGACTACTCCGTTTACTTCAAGGAATTCAAAAATTACGAATACTTCTACACCAAGGACTTCAAGTTGTGGCAATGGTGGAAACTCATGGGTATGGGTGAACACTGGTACTCCGAAGATCATTTCATGATGCGCGACAACATGTACATGTTCAACAAGGACTCCAAATACTTGGACATGATCAAGGATGTTAAGATGTTATATATGCCCGTTGACTACACTCGTGATGTTTACTTCTTCAACAAGGAATCTGAATTGTCATATTTCACTGAAGATTTGGAATGGAACGCTTTCTGGTACTACTTCAATATGGACTACGCTCCCTATCTCGACGGCAAATCTTTCGGTTTGCAAAAGGATCGTCGCGGTGAATACTATTTCTATGTTGTACGTCAACTGCTCGCCCGCTACTACATGGAACGTTTGTCTCATGGTTATGGTGAAATTCCTGAATTCTCTTTCTTCACTGAAGTTGAATACGGTTATGATCCTCAATTGATCAACTACAATGGTGTCGGCTTCTCTTATCGCAAGAACTATTACGAATATGAGACCTACGGTAACTTCGATTACATGTATGGCATTATTAACTTCTTCACTCGTGTTGAGGAAATCATTACCCAAGGCTATTTCAAGACCTACGATGGCAAGATGATTGATATGCGCAAACCCGAATCCATTGAATATCTCGGTGACATTATGCAAGGCAATGTTGATAACTACGACAAATACTTCGCCACCTTCTGGTACATGTATGCCCATATGTACTTTGCCCACACCGATGACACCGAATTCCTTGTCCATCCCAATATCTTCTTGAACTACGAAACCATGATGCGCGATCCCATGTTCTACATGATCTACAAGAAGATCACCGATGTCTTCTTTGAATTCTACGAATACGTCGATCCCTACACCCAGAAGGACTTGTACTTCCCCGGTGTTGAAATTGAAGATGTTAAGGTCAGCGAATTGGTCACCTACTTCGACTTGTTCGACTTCGATGTTACCAACTTGTTGAACGATAAGATGACTTTCGTTGATGGTCAATTTGTATGGGACAAGATGTTGATGGGCCGTCAAATGCGTCTCAACCACAAAGACTTCGACTTCGAATACACCATCAAATCCGACAAGGATCAAAAGGTTGTTGTCCGTGCATTCTTGGGTCCTAAATTCGACGAACATGGTCGCATGTTGTCTTTGAAGGAAAATCGTGAAAACTTCATGGAAATCGATGAATTCTACTATGAATTGAAATCTGGTGTCAACACCTTCAAGCGCAGCTCTAAGGACTTCTATTGGACCACTGATGATCGCACCACCTACACTGAATTGTACAAATTCGTCATGATGGCCTACGAAGGTAAATACGAATTCCCCTTGGACTTCTCTGAACCTCACTGTGGTTTCCCTGATCGTTTGATCTTACCTCGTGGTTGGGAAAAGGGTATGCCCATGCAATTCTTCTTCTTCGTCTATCCCTTCACCGCCACCTACGAACCTTACTCCTTCAATTACAATTACTCTTGCGGTATTGGCTCTGGTGTTCGTCACATCGATGAAATGCCATTCGGATATCCTTTAGATCGCGAAATCGATGAGTTCGAATTCTTTGTACCCAATATGTTCTTCAAGGATGTTAAGATCTACTATAAGGACACTTTCGAAAAGTACTATGGTAACATGTACGACAAATTTGGATCTTTTGATTATAGCTACTATTATAACTATTAAGTTATAGTTGGAGTTGAAATTGTAAGATAAGTTTAACAGCAATCGACGTTATAAGAACGAATAAAAATGCAAAAAAAAAAAAAAATTAAAAATAATTTATATTTGGTGTTTCATTATTATTAAAGGGAAATTAATAAAATAAATTAATATGTAATTTTTAGTCGCAACAATATTCCTCCAACTCTACATAAATTAGAATCGATGAGGTTGACCCTTCGCCAAGGGCATATGTAAAATACATTTATCCTGATTCTTGTATGCTATTTTGGAGAGTTTTTTCCAGCTCTGCGGTGTCATAGCTCATTTTACTGTCAATATAATAACAATAACAATCAGCATATTAAACCTATATACATATGATTTAAAAGTAAATAAGGTAAAATGTATTCCAGTTTTATATGTATTCGACTTCTGAACAAGAATCGGGTAAAAGTGAAAAAGAACCTCAAAAATAACCACCAATAGCCGCAAACAAAAAAAAAAAGCTTTATCAACTTTAGAATTATGACACTGTGCCATAAATTTTACCTAATATGGAAGCATATGGAATTTTTCTATTTCCAAAATCGTGTTGCATGGTGTATTCGATGTTCTAAGTTTGTATCGATACGGTATCTCGATTTGCTTTATATTTTAAAATAATGGTCACATATTTAAAATTGTCAATATACTAAAATGAGAAAAGCGATAGATCCAATATTCGTGTGGTCGTAATTGTACAAAGTTTACATTAAATTGCACTTCATCGATATTTATTTTATTCGTCTCGAGGTCATTTTAATAATAACCATCACGAAATTTTGTTAACAATGTTAATACATACATATATCAGAAACATACCAAAATGATAGTTACATTTTTATCCACAATTTTAAGACCTCCAATTATCCACAAGTGACATGTAACTAAACTTTTTTTTCTATATTGATGTTATTCTATGAAATATTGGAAATATTGGGCACAATATTCTGTGTCTGTTTTAAAATCCATCCTTTTCATTATTTTTTCGTATATATTCTGTTTTATTTGCTTTATTGTGTCAGGATATTTTCTCTATTGAAATTTGGTGTATGTCCATTTAACGAGAATCCACACATTCTAGATTTCGAATTTCGACCAGTTAGGTAGGAACATTCATTACATATATTAAAGACTTGTAACATTGCATACATTAATTTGAAGACTTAAAAAATATGAACAATAAATTGACAAAATGCTGTTAAAGTCGTCTTGTTGTTGTTGTTTTTTTTTATAAAGAAACTTATTTTATAAACTTATTTTGATGTAAAAATTTCCAGGAATTGAAAATATTCTCTTACATTTCACTGAAGTTGGTTTTATGGATAATAAACGGTAGTAAAAATAATCATTTTTAGTTCTATTTTTACTCATTTCATATAAAGCTAATTTATTTTTAAAATCATTTGTGACAAGGTTTTGCTTTTATAGTGGTTGACTTTGCAGTTGCCTGGCTTGATTTGATTTCAAAATTTTTAACATTGTCTAAATTTGTTATATCTTCATCACTACTAGATGATGCACCAGATTCATAAGTATCTTCTGCATACACCTTTGTGGTTGTTGTATTATCGATAACAAAAAATACCACGGATGGATAAATGGATTCATTCGGCATATGCCTTTAGCATTGAACTTTTCAATTTTATATTTATATTTTTTTTAACATAAAATAATATTTAATTTATTATTCCCCGTTTTCTCGGGGAATAATATAGAAAAATCGCGGGAATATTGGAGTCACTAAAATCGGAAAATCCCAGGACAGGAATTCCCGACCCAAGTCTAGAATAACGTGTTAAAATTTAGAACCGATTGGATTAATATTTTTTAAGGTATCGTATCTTTATTAAAATTAATGTTTAAATTACAATCTCTCTAAAAAATTCGTATTAATTTCGTTATAGATTTCGAGTGGGCTTCCTAAAACATCTGCGAATTTTTGTAGCCCTAGACAACATGGGTCCATCAGGACGACGCGTAGAAAAAATCATATATATGATGTATAAAAATTATATTTATTGGAAATATTTATAATTTTTTCATCAATTATGATTAAAAACACATCAATTCAATAATTCCTCAAAATTGTATCCAAATATATCCAAACTTGAAAATTTTACAGCATTTTTCATAAATGAAGTACGTGGTTATTGATTTTTGCTCAAAAATTTGTCTTTGGCTTTTTGGTCGGATTTGTGAACACTAAGACTGGTTTTATATTGGTTTTAGTAGTACCAACATATACAGTCGAGCTCGCTTAACTGAAGAATATCGGAAAAGTGAAATAGCACCATTACATTTATAGGTTATTCGTACACAATTTACTTCGTATAAGTGAAACTCTGCATAACTGTAAATATCGCATAACCAAAATTGGGTTTTTAGTTAGATATTGAAATATTGAAATTTTTATTGTCTTTACTGAATATCATGAGAATGAAAAAATAAAAAAATAACAGGGTATGTAACATTGAAGAATACACTTGTTCAAATCCCACCCTAAGATATTTTTGCTGTAACTAATGAGTATTTCCGAGAAATTACAAAATTATCAAGAGATATGAAACGAAAGAAACCTACACGTACCAACACCATGTTAAAGAATGTACCGTTCATAGGAGTTATGCCAAAACGTGGACCTATATATTGAAACCACCGTCATCAACCCCTACCTACTCGATATGATAAATACAGCAAGGACCAATAAATAAGTAAAATCGGCCTCAAATTTTATAAAATATATACCATGAAACCACCGTCATTTTCAGGCCCGTACCTAAATTCAATGCGTTGCATACTAAAATACCCACCTTCTCACCTTTATAGGGTTTGTTGAACGTCCGTATTACCCAAATACGCAAGGACCTTATTTACTTTTGTATAAGTTGAAAACGGCGAAAAGGGATGAAAACTTGTTAATTTTGAATTCCCGTCCGTCCATTATAATTTGTAAACACGATACAGGCCACAGTTATGGACCAATCTGCACGAAATTTTGCATGTAGGATGGGTTCGGCCCAATGAAGACCCCTATTTTTGTTGGTAAAGATCGAATAATATTTAGGGGATGAAATGGACCAAATACTAAATTTTTGTCGGTTTTTCTTGTCGCTCCAGAGGCCACAATTATTGCCCAAACATGGAGAAGGGGATGGGGCTAAAGAATAGGCATGCTTGTTGTGATAAGGATCGGCAATTATTTAGCGGGTCAAATAAACCCTGACTTTTGTGAGAAAAATTAAAAAAAATAGTATTATATAGGCTTTATGTCCTGTAGGACATAAAGCCGATAATTTGATAGCATGTCCAAGAGGAGTGGTTGGCTTCTAAATTGATACCAATTATATTGTCGTATTTACTCGGATGTGGGAGTTACACGTAAATATTTACAAATGCTTACGTATTCAGATATTATTTAGTAAACCATTGCCACACTAGACGGCGGAAATATAGCGCTGATCGCTTTGAAATGTTCCAGAAGTTTTCCAGTTATGGTCAAGGACAATGCCTATAATTTTCGGTGATGATCAGATAATAATTTTGGGATTAAGTTGACCGAAAACTTAATTTTTTTGTATTTTTTCGAATCATCACCATACAAACCGGGATGGAGGGAAAAATGTCGGTGTAAGAAAGAGGTGCTGTTGACCTCTAATCGGGGAAGAGGGTGCAAATATCACGAAATATTGCCCAGGCTCGGAATAAACATCCGCAGAAAGTTAGAACTCCGTGGTATTTGTGTAGGCTATCGTATGGTCGGCCCCGTCCGATTCCTTGAAATACGTGTATTTAACGTTTGAGGTGAATAAAATCGTACACATACGCATGAATTTAGGTACAACCCTAACTGTGGAGGAAATAAAAATTACAATTTTTGACAGTGAGTGCACGAGGCTGCCTTCCTTATTATATCATGATGTAAACCACACATATTCCCAAATTGCTTATTACATCCTTTGCAAATTGCTTATTACAGAACTTTTCAAAAATTTGGACCGATATATTAAATATTTCAAATGAAAACCCCCCAAGATAGATATTATGTGATATATCGAGATTGCAACAGACAGGCAGATGGACTTCGTTAAGATCAATAAATACATAAATACATCATTTTATTTTTCCACATTTTGCAAAAAATTCGTAAAATTCGTACATCCCTATATTTAAGGCGACAACGCTTAACCATCTTTATTTCGATAAATTGTATTTTGTATTGTGTCTTTGAGTATAAGGTATATATATATATTTATATTGTTCTAATATTTGCAATTTTTTAAGAAGCCTTATGGAAATTTGTTTGCATTTTGTTGCACCATCAATATTTTGTATATTATTTTCAGATGGTATCAAATATTTTTTCTGGAACGCAAAATAATTATATAACCTGAATTGAGATTGACAAAAATAATTGATGTTATTTTAACATTAATATACCTAAAAGCTAAGATCCTCCTAGAAACAAAATAACATATGCCTTATCAACAAAACAGCATTAGCACCTGTTCAGATACATAGAAAATAGCCAGGGTCCATTATCATAATTGCACTTATGTTATCAATAAATCCAAAATAATTATATTACGTTGTATTTTTAGAAAAACAAATCGAATGCAAAATTATAAGAGATTTGAGTATAAAAGGCGCCCGAATTTAGTGAAACAATAACAGTCTTTAGGTATTGGTTTGATCAGTGCATCATATCTAAACCGTGGACAGTTTCTCTTCTTAAAAGTTGACGAATTGTGCTGCAGTGAAGGACAACCATGAAAATCACTATCGCCTTACTGGCCATAATTGGCTTGGTGGCAGTCAGTGCCTACCCACACAAAGTCGAAAAGAAGTTCGCCGATAAGGACTTCTTGGCCAAACAAAAATTCCTTTTCGAAATTGTGTACCGCGTTGAGGATCCTTTGATGTTCGAGGAATACATCAAGCTAGGCAAAACCTTCACCTACGACAAGAGTGACTACGTGGTAAGTTTATTTGTGGCAAACAGCGTTTCACTTCTAATATGCGAACAATTTGTCATCCAATAGCACCCTGAACAACGTAGCGTCTATATGGAGAAATTCTACAATGCCTACAAATACGGTGTTACTTTGCCCAAGGGTGAATTTTTCGGCTCCTTGGCTTACACCCACTTCGAGCAAATGTATGGCTTGTTTGATTTCTTCTACTATGCCAAGAACTGGGATATTTTCATGCGCAACGTCTGCTGGGCCCGTTTGAACTTCAACGAAGGCATGTTCGTTCAAGCTTTAACTTTGGCCGTTATCCACCGTGACGATTTCGAAGGCTTGATGTTGCCCGCCATCTATGAAATCTTCCCTCAATACTTCTTCAACAGCAAATTCATCTACGAAGCTGAGAAATTCGATTTTGATGTCTGGAGCAAATACATCATGTACGAAAAGGAATACAAGGACTTCATGTACAAGGACTACGCCCAATACTTCAAGGAATTCAAAAACTACGAATACTTCTACACCAAGGACTTCAAGTTGTGGCAATGGTGGAAACTCATGGGTATGGGTGAACACTGGTATGCCGAAGAACACCACATTGAACGCGACAACATGCTTGTGTTGAACAAGGATTCGAAATATATGGATTTGATGAAGGACGTCAAAATGTTCTACATGCCTGTCGATTACACTCGTGATGTCTACTTCTTCAACAAGGAATCTGAATTGTCATATTTCACCGAGGATGTTGAATGGAACGCATTCTGGTACTACTTTAACATGGACTACTACCCATATTTGGACGGTGAAGACTTTGGTCTGAAGAAGGATCGTCGTGGTGAATACTACTTCTATGTCATCCGTCAAATGCTTGCTCGTTACTACATGGAACGTTTGTCTCATGGTTATGGCGAAATTCCTGAATTCTCCTTCTTCACTGAAGTTGAATACGGCTATGATCCTCAATTGATCAACTATAATGGTGTTGGTTACTCTTACCGCAAGAACTATTACGAATACGAGACCTATGGTAACTTCGATTACATGTATTACATTATCAACTTCTTCACCCGTGTCGAAGAAATCATTACCCAAGGCTATTTCAAGACCTACGATGGCAAGATGATCGATATGCGCAAACCTGAATCCATTGAATACCTCGGCGACATCATGCAAGGCAACTACGACAACTATGACAAATACTTCGCCACCTTCTGGTACATGTATGCCCATATGTACTTTGCCCACATTGATGACACTGAATTCTATATCCACCCCAATGTCTTCTTGAACTACGAAACCATGATGCGTGATCCCATGTTCTACATGATCTACAAGAAGATCACCGATGTCTTCTTCGAATTCTATGAATACATCGAACCCTACACCCACAAGGAATTGTACTTCCCCGGTGTTGAAATTGAAGATGTTAAGGTCAGTGAATTGGTTACCTACTTTGACTTGTTCGACTTCGATGTTACCAACTTGTTGAACGACAAAATGACCTTCGTTGATGGTCAATTTGTATGGGACAAGATGTTGATGGGTCGTCAAATGCGTCTCAACCACAAAGACTTCGACTTCGAATACACCATCAAATCCGACAAGGATCAAAAGGTTGTTGTCCGTGCTTTCTTGGGTCCTAAATTCGACGAACATGGCCGTATGTTGTCTTTGAAGGAAAATCGTGAAAACTTCATTGAAATCGATGAATTCTACTATGAATTGAAATCTGGTGTCAACACCTTCAAGCGCAGCTCTAAGGACTTCTATTGGACCACTGATGATCGCACCACCTACACAGAATTGTACAAATTCGTCATGATGGCCTACGAAGGTAAATACGAATTCCCCTTGGACTTCTCTGAACCTCACTGTGGTTTCCCTGATCGTTTGATCTTACCTCGTGGTTGGGAAAAGGGTATGCCCATGCAATTCTTCTTCTTCGTCTATCCCTTCACCGCCACCTACGAACCATACTCCTTCAATTACAACTACTCTTGCGGTATTGGTTCTGGTACTCGCCACATTGATGAGAAACCATTCGGTTATCCATTCGATCGTGAAATCAACGAATACGAATTCTTTGTACCCAACATGTACTTCAAGGATGTCAAGATCTATTACGAAAACACTTTCGAAAAGTACTACGGTGATATGTACGAAAAATTCGGTACTTTCGATCATAGCTACTATTACAATCATTAAATGTTTGCGGAATGCTGGAGCAATTGTGTTGTTAAACATGTGATATTGTAAAGAATTTTCAATATGAAAACGAATAAAATAAAAAAATGAAAATAAATAAAAATTAATTGTTTTTTTTTTTATATGTATGGGTACAGACTACTATTATCAGATACCTTTTTCATTAAATAAAATTATCATTTAAAAATTGGGCTGTGAGAAATATTTTAGAATGTATTTTAAATTTTCTAAATGATTTGTGCCGAATTGAAATTGAAAATCTTTAGATGTTGCATTCAGTCCGTGACTACCGAGATCTGTTAACAAGTAATGTAACTGGTGATATGTGTTTATACTGCTGGAACCGCAACTCAATCAAACCAACGAAAGTTGTTTACCCCTGAGCCAAGCAAGCAAAATTCGATAAAATGGGAAAGTTTTTATCACAATTTTCCATAATTACAAGGACATTGTTTTAACATAGATTGTAATTAAGGATTTTCATACAATTAGTATTTTTTGCACGCACCATTACCTTGATTGACTTTTTGTGTCATTTTCGGAACGTTGCTTAGAAGTTTCCTGTATTTTTTTAAGTAATGTAATACCCTATTTTTTGTACAAAATTCCAAATTTGATCTTTATTTTGGAAAGATTGTGTATGTGCCCACGAAGGGGTTTCTATCTAATGGTATCTATATAAGAATCATATTTTGTTTGATTAATGACAACATTGAGTCGTCTGATATGTTTTTGTATGAAATGGGCCCATGCGTTTGTAATGTGAAATATTGGATGAAGACCAATACCAGGAAAAGCAGCGTCACATCACAAGGTTGTAACGTTGTCCACAATCTGCGGTTTTAACTGGTTTTTTGTAAATTGTTTATAAAATTTCTAAAAAATATTTTCATTTCTCCATGTTTTTTCCAAAAAAAAATTAAATTTCATAACATAGTGCCAAGCAGTGCGAGAGAATATTTTAAAGATTATGGTACCAATCGACGTCTTGATATGCGACCGTTCATAAACTTAAGAGTTATTGCCGATAACATAAAAATATTCCTTGTATATGGATAATATTCGATGATAATAATCTCACATTCAATTAAATTAGTTGTAATTTGGTATTTTGAGTTATTACGGGGTTTGCAAATCTTCCTTCCAAAAATGATCAATTTTGGTCCCATAAAACAGTAGACGCTCAACTTTATTATTTTCGGGATTTTGTTTATGTTTTCCAACCAAATTAACTATATGTTAAGTACTACAAACCATCAATATTGCCTTAAGTTTCAGGTAACGCGTTTTTCAACGAAATAGGCTATATTTTAAAATTAAATTTAGGCATACCATAGTTTTATGCCAGTAATACCCAAACCAACGATATTTATTTTTTTCTTATGGTAGATCCGATATTTTACATTCATTTAATTTTAATCTCAAAATCTGATTTCACATTATTAATCTGTGACCATAACTACAAATCGTATTCAAAAATAATTTAATTAATTAAAATAAAACCAGTGAGCGGAGCAGTATAGTCGGACGGGTCCGACCATATAATACCCTACACAACTACCACGGAACGCTAACTCTCTATTTCTAGGCAATATTTCGTGATATTTGCACCCTCTTGCTCGATTAAAGTTTAACAGCACCTCTTCCTTACACTGACATATTTTCCGAACATTACCAATATTCAGTACACTCCTTCTAATTATGTACTTGTCCACATTCCCTTCACCGTAGGTTGTGTGTGATCGATTTAAAAATCGATCGATTAAAAAAAAAAAAAAAAAAAACACACAAAATTAAGGTCCACTTCATCCCAAAATTATTATCTGATATAGGCGTTGTCCCTGACCATAACTGGGACGTCATGGAACATTTCAAAGCTATCAGCGCTAAATTTCCGTCCTCTAGTGTGGTAATGGGTTACAAACTAATGTATGAATACCCAAGGATCTGTAAATATTTAAGTGTAACTCCCACATCCGAGGACAAACGACAATATAATTGGTGTCTATTTAAAGGTCAACCACGCCTCTTGGATATATAATCAACTTCTCGGATCTATGTCCTTCACGAGTAAATATATACGCCGTAGAATGCAAATTTTGTCATTTTTCACATAAAAGTCAGGGTCCATTTGACCCGCTAAATATTGACCGATCTTTACCAAAACACGCATGCTTATTCTTAGGTCCGATCCCCTTCTTCATGCAAAAATTCGCGATGTTTAGGCTTTAATTGAGGCCTCTGGAGCGACCAGAAAAACCGACAAAAATTAAGTAATTGGTCCATTTCATCCCCTAAATATGGGCCGATATTTTCCAAAAACAATAGGGGTCTTCATTGGACCGAACCCATCCTACATGCAAAATTTCGTGAAGATTGGTCCATAACTGTGGCCTGTATAGTGGACAGACGGACGGACACACATGTCTAGATCGATTCAGAGATCTAGAGATTTAAAGGTGGGTCTAGGACCAATATTTCGCGGCGTTACAAACTCTTGGGGCTGCACAAAGCTTTAATACCCTGACAACATAGTTGTGTTGGGCATAAAAATGCCGAAATTTTCCAACCACACAATTAAAATCCTACATTTTCCCCGCAGATTCGAAATCAGCGTTACCGAAACCATTATAAACTAAGCTCTGCTCCATTCTTCTCTCTTCTGGACAATAATGCTTATTTCGACAAATTAATCAATTATTTTTTCCAACATAATCAATTATTTTTTACATGTTTCTCGAAGAAATACTGATAGTGAAACACAACATGGAACATAAACTATGATGCACTTATTATTTTGGCCATATATGTATGTCAACAACTTCGGTTGGCAGATGCTAAAACGTTCAGTATTCTGAATATAAGGTGTTACTGTCATTAGGTTCGTCTTCAACACCATATATCCTAGAAATAATATCGAGCTTAATGTCGATTTCCTGTTTTAAACATCAATATAAACTTTTATTCTGATCAAGTATACACGTACTTTATGGGATATCTGTCGACTGCTTTAAGGAACTACTAAAAATTGATCAATGATATTCCACTGCATGATATCGATAATATATAAATATGATCGATTTCTCTTCTTTTACATACAACACATTTGATGCGCACAATATTCAAATATGAATTTAATCTAAATTTCTAATTTTGCATTGAAAACAAAAATTATAATATTAAAATTATTATTAAAAATATCGATGAGATCAGCAAAACAAATGCTGTGACAAAAGGTCAATTTCATCGCATAGACCGTTATCAATTTGGATGCAAATAAAAATCATAACAAAGACATATTATTCAAAAATATGACACTCTGCAGAAGATTTCAGTGCAGCAACATGTATAAATATTAAACTTATTTCATATTCAAGAACAAAAACGAATATGAAATTATCCTTAATTCTATTGGCCATAATAGGCCTCATTGCCGTCAGCGCCACCGAAACAAAAAATTATACCAAGTATGCTGATAATGAGTTTTTGGTCAAACAAAAATTTCTACTCGAAATACTTTACCGTGTTGAGGATCCTTTAATGTTCGAGGAATATATCAAATTGGGCAAATCATTTGTTTACAATGAGGATGATTATTTGGTATGACAATTAATTGATATATTGGAAAAAATCTAACATTTCCCAAAAAAATATTTTTTTTTCAGTTTCCTGAACAGCACAGCGATTTCATGAAGAAATTCTACGAGGCCTACAAATATGGTGTCACTTTGCCTAAGGGTGAATTTTTCGGTTCCTTGGCATACTCGCACTTCGAACAAATGTATGGTTTGTTTGAATTCTTCTATTATGCCAAGACATGGGAAATCTTTCAACGCAATGTTTGCTGGGCTCGCATGCATTTCAACGAAGGCATGTTCGTCCAAGCTTTGACTTTGGCCGTTATCCATCGCGACGACTTCGAAGACTTCATGCTACCTCACATATACGAAATTTTCCCTCAACACTTTTTCAATAGGAAATTCATCTACAAAGCTGAGAAATTCGACTACAATGTATGGAGTAAATCCATAATGTACGAGAAACAATACAAGGACTTTCTCTACAAGGACCAATCGAAACAATTAAATCCGTACAATAACAAACACTATTTTTACACCAAAGATTGGCAATTTTGGAAATGGTGGAAACTCATGGGTATGAGTGAGGATTGGTACAGTACGCTGTATTTTATGTTACGCGACAACATGAGTGGATTCCTCGAGAACTCGAAATATATGGATGTCATGAATGATGTTAAAATGTTTTTCATGCCTATCGGCTATACCCGAGATGTTCACACTTTCAACGAAGAATCTGCATTGTCGTATTTTACTGAAGATGTGGAATGGAATTCATATTGGTACTACTTTAACATGGATTATTATCCCTATCTTAAAGCCAAAGATTTGGGGTTGAAGAAGGAACGTCGTGGCGAATATTATTTCTATGTTGTCCGCCAAATGCTGGCTCGTTACTATTTGGAGCGTTTGTCCCATAGACGTGGCAAGATTCCTGAATTCAACTTCTTCAGTGATGTGAAATATGGATATGATCCTCAATTGGTCAACTACAATGGTGTCGGTTATTCCTATCGTAAGAATTATTACGAATATGGAACCAATGGCAACGCTGACTACATGTATGGAATCATTGAGTTCTTCAAACGTATGGATAAAATTATAACAGAAGGATATTTTGAGACCTATGATGGCAAAGTGATTGATATGCGCAAACCGGAGTCCATTGATTATCTCGGTGATATGATGCAGGGAAATGTGGATAACTACGACAAATATTTCGCTACGCTTTGGTACATGTATGCCCATATGTATTTTGCCCACATTGATGATAACGATTTCCATATCCATCCAAATATTTTCCTCAACTATGAAACCATGATGCGTGATCCCATGTTCTACATGATCTATAAGAAATTTACGGATGTCATTTATAAATTCTACGATCACATTGAACCATATACGTACGACGATTTATATTTCCCCGGCATTTTCATCGAAGATGTTAATGTCAGCAATTTGATGACCTATTTTGATTTATTCGATTTTGATGTTACAAATTTGTTGAACGACAAGATGACCTTCGTGGATGGCCAATTTGTGTGGGACAAGACATTGTTGGCTCGCCAAATGGCGCTCAATCATCGTGACTTTGACTTTGAATATATTATAAAATCACGTAATGATGAAAAGGTGATTGTTCGTGCCTTCCTAGGACCGAAATATGATGAGATTGGTCGCGTTATTTCACTGAATACGAACCGTGAAAATTTTGTTGAAATCGATCATTTCTATTATGAATTGAAATTGGGTGTTAACACTATAAAACGCAGATCAAAGGACTTTATGGACACGGCGGATAATCGCATTAAATACACCGAATTATACAAATTAATTATGATGGCTTACGGCGACGACAATAACAACAAATTGGCTTTGGATAATTTTAAATCCCACTGCGCTTTTCCGAATCGTTTGATATTGCCACGTGGTTGGGAGAAGGGTATGCCTATGCAACTCCTTTTCTATGTATATCCAGTTACTGACACGCAATATGAAACACAATCCTTTGGCTGCGGTAGACGTCTCAACGATGATGACAAACCTTTTGGATTTCCATTGGATCGAAAAATTAATGAATTTGAATTCTTCGAGTTCTTTGTACCAAATATGTTACTTAAAGATATTAAGATTTATCATGAATATGTTCTTTAAAATGAATTTTTGAATTTATTTGCTCTGAATATTGTATAGATGAACTAAAAACAAATAAAAAATAAATTTAAAATCATTAACATTTTATTTTACAATATTTACTGGAATTATTGATGGCTTTGTAATTTTTTTGGGTTTTGAAATTTTTGTGATCAAAGAAAAGTCCTTTTTTTTGATGGCGGGCATGATAACTCCTCACTGGAACATCGGAATCCGAAAATTCCAACGGTGTTAGAAAGAGTACATGTCTGGCTCTCGTATGAACTAGGATTATTGACTTCGCACAACAATTATTAAATGGCCTAACTTTGATTTTTTTTTTTTTTTTTGGAAAATCGTCTATTTTTTACCACAAACTATGTTAAAAAATAAGGAAGATCTTCACCGATTGGCTTTATTCTAGTTCACACGAGAGCTACACACTCCCAGAGAAACGTGTCAAAATTTGGAACCGATTGGATTTTTAATTTTTTGAAGTTATCGTGCCCGCCATATTGATTCGAGAAAAATGCGTTTAAAGATTGAGAGTCACACTTGCCGTCACTTGATGCTGACACAATAAATCGACTATATCTTCAAGAGTTCTTGAGATTTTCACTTGAAATTTTGTAGGGACATTCTAGAATTAGAGTAGATTCGTATTAAATAAAAAAATTTTGACACCGAGAATTGGGGGGGTCCCTTAAGACATATCGGCAAATGTTGCGGACTAATCAGAAATATTTGAGTTTTAATCAAATTTTTTTTAAAAGTTTGGGGAGTTGTTTGTCTTTTATTTTTCATTTTGACAGGGTATTTTCCGAAAATGTTCAATATGGTTTGTCATATTACATAGTGTATCGTCAAATGTAGGTTATTTTCAAATTTGTAATTTGGCATTAGATGGTCTTTGAGGACGTTGTAAATATAGTTTCGTGTTTTAATATAGTCCTATATAAATGTTCTCCCAATATTTAATTGAATTGGTAGTTCAGGCAGTTCGGGTTCAAAAAAGTTAGAATTCCTACTCGAAAATTCTAAAGTTTTATGGAAAATATATTTCAAGGAACAATATTAGATAAAGTACATGCAAACACTGGTCAAATACTTTACAAAATCATTAGGATTTGTTGATAATCACAATGATAATGTAGGCAACAAGATGCCGTACAAAAAGTAGTAATTTTTACTAACTTTGTAGCTGTAAGATTTTTTAAATGATATGTTTATATTATAAAAAAATACACTTTTTATATAAAAATTAAAAATTCACAAGTTTGTGGTATTTCTTTATGATACTCAATATTTAAAATATAATAATAGCAAAGTAGTTAATTAATGTATACTCGTAATTTCGCATTCCAGTCATAGATATGAAATGCATAAAAATGTTGAACGTTTATTAAAAAATAATTGTAAAATACTTTATATTTTAATAATAACGTAGAAAAAGGTCATGGCCATATTTAAATAATAATCATAAAGCATTTGGAAGATCCTCCTGACAACAGACTCATAATGAATAAAAAATAATAAAACAAATCACAAATGCAATGTAGAACTGATATGCCAGCACCTTATCAAAGTTATGCTACAAATAGCATGTTAAAAACAATATCTATACAAATGTAGACTTTAGCAATGCTACCTGTAGCACAACAACAAATATCACACAAAAAATGCAGGCAATATTATCAATAAATGTATTAAATGACCCCATCATACAGTAAGAAATACATACAAGCTAATTAATTAAAAAATATATACAGTTCCAATTTTGTATAAATAGCCAAGAATTTCAACGAACAAACAACAGTCTTTAGGTATTGGTTTTGATCGGTGCATCATCTCTAATCCGTGGACAGTTTCTGTTCTGAGAAGTTGACGAATTGTGCTGCAGTTAAGGACAACCATGAAAATCACTATCGCCTTACTGGCCATCATTGGCCTGGTAGCAGTCAGTGCCTACCCACACAAAAAGGAAACCAAATATGCCGATAAGGACTTTTTGGCTAAACAAAAATTCCTCTTCGAAATTGTTTATCGTGTTGAGGATCCTTTGATGTTCGAGGAATACATCAAATTGGGCAAGACTTTCGTTTTCAACGAGGAAGATTATATGGTATGTCATAATTTGGAAAATAAACGATAAACATTTAATATGAGTTCCTTTTTTACTTTCTTCATTCCAGTTCCCAGAAAATCACAGCGAATATATGAAGAAATTCTACAATGCCTACAAATACGGTGTAACTTTGCCCAAGGGTGAATACTTCGGCTCTTTGGCTTATACCCACTTCGAGCAAATGTATGGCTTGTTTGAATTCTTCTACTATGCCAAGAATTGGGAAATCTTCCAACGCAATGTCTGCTGGGCCCGTATGAACTTCAACGAAGGCATGTTTGTTCAAGCTTTGACTTTGGCTGTTATCCACCGTGACGACTTCGGTGGCTTGATGTTGCCCGCCATCTATGAAATCTTCCCTCAATACTTCTTCAACAGCAAATTCGTCTACGAAGCTGAGAAATTCGATTTCGATGTTTGGAGCAAATACATCATGTACGAAAAGGAATACAAGGACTTCATGTACAAAGACTATTCCGTATACTTCAAGGAATTCAAGAACTACGAATACTTCTACACCAAGGACTTCAAGATGTGGCAATGGTGGAAACTCATGGGTATGGGTGAACACTGGTACTCCGAAGATCATTTCATGATGCGCGACAACATGTACATGTTCAACAAGGACTCCAAATACTTGGACATGATCAAGGACGTTAAGATGTTCTACATGCCTGTTGACTACACCCGTGATGTTTACTTCTTCAACAAGGAATCTGAATTGTCTTACTTCACCGAAGATTTGGAATGGAATTCATTCTGGTACTACTTCAACATGGAGTACTTCCCCTACTTGGATGGCAAACAATTCGGTTTGGAGAAGGATCGTCGTGGTGAATACTACTTCTATGTTATCCGTCAAATGCTAGCTCGTTACTACATGGAACGTTTGTCTCATGGTTTTGGTGAAATTCCTGAGTTCTCCTTTTTCACTGAAGTCGAATACGGCTATGATCCTCAATTGATCAACTACAATGGTGTTGGTTACTCTTACCGCAAGAACTATTACGAATATGAGACCTATGGTAACTTCGATTACATGTATTACATTATCAACTTCTTCACTCGTGTCGAAGAAATCATTACCCAAGGTTATTTCAAGACCTACGATGGCAAGATGATTGATATGCGCAAACCCGAATCCATTGAATATCTCGGTAATATGTTGCAAGGCAACATTGACAACTACGACAAATATTTCGCCACCTTCTGGTACATGTATGCCCATATGTACTTTGCCCACATTGATGACAGTGAGTTCGAAGTTTACCCCAATGTTTTCTTGAACTACGAAACCATGATGCGTGATCCTATGTTCTACATGATCTACAAGAAGATCACCGATGTCTTCTTCGAATTCTACGAATACATTGAACCCTACACCCAGAAGGACTTGTACTTCCCCGGTGTTGAAATTGAAGATGTTAAGGTCAGCGAATTGGTCACCTACTTCGACTTGTTCGATTTCGATGTTACCAACTTGTTGAACGACAAGATGACCTTCGTTGATGGTCAATTTGTATGGGACAAGATGTTGATGGGTCGTCAAATGCGTCTCAACCACAAAGATTTCGATTTCGAATACACCATCAAATCCGATAAGGATCAAAAGGTCGTTGTCCGCGCTTTCTTGGGTCCTAAATTCGACGAATACGGTCGTGTATTGTCTTTGAGTGAGAACCGTGAAAACTTCATTGAAATCGATGAATTCTTCTATGAATTGAAATCTGGTGTTAACACCTTCAAGCGCAGCTCCAAGGACTTTTACTGGACCACTGATGATCGCACCACATACACTGAATTGTACAAATTCATTATGATGGCTTATGAGGGCAAATACGAATATCCTTTGGACTACTCTGAAGCTCAATGTGGTTTCCCAGATCGTTTGATCTTGCCTCGTGGCTGGGAAAAGGGTATGCCCATGCAATTCTTCTTCTTTGTCTATCCCTACACTGCTTCGTACGAACCTTACTCCTACAACTCCAACTACTACTGCGGTGTTGGCTCTGGTCTTCGCCACATTGATGAAAAGCCTTTCGGCTATCCATTCGATCGTAAAATCGATGAATTTGAATTCTTTGTACCCAACATGTACTTCAAGGATGTCAAGATCTACTATGAAGATACCTTCGAAAAGTACTATGGTTTCAAGTACGACAAATTCGGAACTTTTGATTATAGCTATTATTATAATAATTAAGTTGTTGTATGAGGTAGGGATGTGTGGTAAAACATTGTAAAAAATAATGCATTAAACAAAAAATAAAATAAAAAAAATTAAAAAAAAAATAAATAAAAATTCTGTTTTTATTGGTGTATTCAACGAAATTGTTGAGAGTAATTAGAAGAGTGAAATTTGAGTTATATATGTAGAGGTAATGGTGTCGTGTCACTTTATGTAATTTTCGTTAGAAAATCAAATGCGAAAACAGTTTTCAATTTCAATTTTTGAAGTGAAAATGTAATTAACGGTGATCTCAGATTATATTAAAAATCCGAAAAATTATTTATATTGGGAATATGTCATTGAATAATAGGTGAAAACTATGGAACAATTATGTGACCATATATCTTAAGGGGAACATGCTCTCTGCATAACATTTTAATTTTATAAATTAAATTAAATAGTTAAACGTACATATTTGGTTTCTTCGCATTTGTGTAAAATCTTACAAAAAATAATAATGTAATACCCTGGAACTTCAATATATGTATAAATGAAGCACATGAACAAAATTGTCGTATTTGGAGCTCTATGACAAGTTTTGGACACGAATTGGCTGTAATTTGGAATTTTCGGTTCTCATCCGTACTATAATTTATTAATATTAATGACCCAAGTTTCAGGTTACTCCCCAATACTCGGTATTTTTGGTAATTTTAGATAAGTTTTTAAACCCAACTGTCTGTAATTTGGTATTTTGGGTTGTCGTGGTATATCACATATCCGTACAAAAAAATTATGAAAGTTGACCTTATTTTACCCATCAATTTTTTTTTTTTTGAGATTTTGTACACGTTTTCCAACCGAACTAGCTGTTATCTGGTATTTTGAGTTCTCATTGTACAACACATATACGTACTAAAAATTATTAATATTGACCTAGCATTCGGCATTCTAGGGATTGAATAACACGATAGCCCCACACCACAATTAGATATTTTGAGAATTTCAATTATCTTTTTTCACGTATTTTTCGGTATTTTCAGTAGCCCCTATTCATTTTAACTATTTTGTCATCCACATGTTGAAGGGTATAAAAAGTTCGGCCGGCCGAACATAACATCGTAACATATTAATTACTTAATTATATAAAAATACATTTATTTTAATATTTCTCGGGTTATGAGAAGGCGAACCTCAGATTCAAGGAATTTGAAACCTTTTTGAATATTCCAATATGTCTTTTCTATGTTTTATTATCATTATTTCTTGTTTCAATCTATTCACTAAAATTCAATTTAGATTGAACATTTGCAGTATTTTTATATATATATATATATTTCCGTCCTTCGTCTGGCCGGCTGGTGCGCACGACAACCCTCGAAAGGAGTAATCGATTTCATCCAAGCATAGTTCAAGTTCGAAGACGGGGAATATCGTTCCACTCCTTCTGGCATTCCCCCCAAAAATGGTCAAAAACCTTGCTAAACATACATTCATGAGACCAGCTGTTATATATACCAACAGGGACGTACACAAATGAATTTCTTTCACAGTAAATTTATGTTTGCAACCGCGAAATTTTGCATTTTGTACTACCGGGCCCTCCCCGAAATGAAATCCTGTGTACGTTGCTGTTTACCAAGCATAGATAAAGTCCGAAGCCTTACCCACAATTTTAATATTTATAAATCAAATATTAGGAGAAAGGAATGTCCGATTTGAACCAAATGTTGCAAGTCTTGATCAAGTCCGAAGAGAAGGCCCATTGGTCCTCTGTATCTCTCCCCAAATGGTCAAAATATTCAATATTTATAAATCCAGGCGAATGGAATGTCCGATCGGAACCAAACTTTGCGTAACCTATTATCTTTACCAAGCCTAGCTAAAGTCCGAATGTGGACCCGTCGTTCCTCTCCTTTTGGTACCTCCCTTAAAAGGGTCAATATTTTATAAATATGTCCTTTTAATTTGAAGGTAATTAAATAACCGATTTTAATAAAGTGAATGCTTAAGAGTTATCTACAACCGGTGCTAGAAAAATTTATTAGTGTACAGACATGAGCAATGTTATAAGACAAATCGACGCCTCCGAAGAATAGTTTGCTAAGTCTGAAAAGTGAGTTTTTAGTAGAAGCTTTCAAAGTATGGAAGTTTCTTGAATCTTACGTGCCATGCTAAGTACATTTTTGCTTATAACTTTGGTTTGGATTGGCCGATGATTAGCAAAATTTCAGAAAATTTAAATTAAGGACCGTAGTATCTAAAAACTTTAAAACATGCCAAATCGACTTAGCATACTATGGCTCGGAGGCGACGAAATGAGCTATAATAAAAGTTACATAAAAAAGCTCTTAATTATTGATACGTTCGGCTAGCATATTTCGTTTGTCTCTCAGATTTCGAGGACATCGGCACACAAAATAAAAATTATAAAAAACATTATTTAAAAAACAGATGATACATTTTATATTAAAGTTTTTGCGCATATAATTATATTGAGCGATTAGACCGTAATACCCAACTACCAAATATACTTTACCTGAGATTGCAACTAAAAAATTAATCTATCATCAAATTAATCACAAAAAAAAAAACAAAAACAAAAAAAAAACAATATAAAACATGACGTGATGTGATGTGAATTTATTCTTTGAATATTGATGATATTGATGAAAAAATCTTTAGCACAGATTTGTTATTGTAGGCATGAAATAACTCAATAAACAACAAAGTACCGGAATTGTATTGTTGGACATAGAAAAGGCCTTCGATACAGTTTGGCACGACGGCGTCGTATACAAACTGCATAAACATTCATATCCATTATATATTCAAAAACTTATACAAAGTTTTTTAAACAAAAGAACGTTTCTGGTCAGCATTGATAACAGTTTGTCAACACCTCGAACGATACCTGCTGGTCTTCCCCAATGATCAGTGCTCTCACCGGTTCTGTATTCAATATACACTTCGGATATCACAATCAAAGGAAACCATGATGCAGCTTTTTATGCAGACGATAGCGCAATCATGTGCAAGGGAAAAGTATCAAACGCCATATTAAAACAACTAGCTTTGTCATTAAAACACATCGAAAAATATTTCCATAGATGGAAAATTAAAATAAATCAGGATAAAACCCAAGCTGTGATTTTCCCATTTAACAAATCGCCAAAACGTATTCCGAGTATTCCCCTAATATTTATGGGGAATAATATCGAGATAAAAAAGTCTATCAAATACTTAGGAGTAACTCTGGATTCTAAGCTTACTTTTCATGAACATGTTAAAGGCATTAGTGAAAAGGCTATAAATTGTGGAAGAGCGCTGTATCCTCTACTAAACAGAAGATCTAGTCTCAATACCAGCAACAAAATATTGCTGTATAAAATGTGCATTAGACCAATAATGACATACGCTTGTCAAGTATGGTTCCATAGGACAGCCAAGTGTCATTTACAAAAATTACAGATCATACAAAATAAGAACTTAAAAATAATTCACAAACTTGGTTGGAGATATCCAACACACCGTCTTCATAATCAATTTGGACACCAGACCTTAAACATGGTAATGCAGAATTAGACGCTGTCATTCGACGAAAAATGCAGAATGTCTAACTATGATATCATTAGAAATTTAATATAAATATATGTATAACTCCTTTTATATTAAAAGTAGATATATGCATATTTTTCAAAAATTTCTTAATCCCTTTTTTTTTTTTGTCTCCCAAAGGTTTTTCTCCTAATTTTTCCCCTTAATCTGTGATAATATAATCGCTTGTAAGACTCTGTCTCCAAGATAATAATTGCTGTAATACTAATTAAGTAAAAACTCAAAAATGTATATTTCTTAAAATAGCAAAATAAAGGAATAATAATAAAAAATAAAAAAAAACTCAATAAACACTCTTATCAGTTGTTTCATGTTTTGACCAAAATAAAACCTTAGAACTATGAAGACAAGCTCCAGAGGTTTCCATAAAATCTAGTGCCTACTCGCACAAAAAGGAAACTTCTTGGCAAAACAAAAATTCGATGTTGATGTATGGATCAAATACATCATGTACGAGAAGGAATACAAGGACTTCATGTACAAGGACTATTCGGTATACTTCAAAGAATTCAAGAACTACGAATACTTCTACACCAAGGACTTAAAGATGGGGCAATGGTGGAAACTCATGGGTATGGGTGAACATTTGTACTCCGAAGATCATTCTATATCAACACCAACGTGTTCTTGCACCACGAAACCATGATGCGTGATCCCATGTTCTACATGATCTACAAGGACATGTCTTCATCGAATACATTGAACCCTACACCTACCAGGAATTGTACTTACCCGGTGTTGAAATTGAGCATGTCAAGGTCAGCGAATTGGTCACCTACTTCGACTTGTTCGATTTCGATGTTGGACGACAAGATGACTTTCATTGATGGTCAATTCGTATGAGACAAGATGTTGATGGGTCGTCAAATGCGTTTCAACCACAAGGATTTCGATTTCGAATACAACATCAAATTCGATAAGCATCAAAAGGTCGTTGTCCGCGCTTTCTTGGGTCCTAAATTCGGCGAATATGGTCGTGTGTTGTCTTTGAGTGAAAACCGTGAAAACTTCATTTAAATCGATGAATTATTCTATGAATTGAAATCTGGTGTTAACACCTTCAAGCGCAGCTCTAATGACTTCTACTGGACCTATAATAATGGCACCACCTAATATCCTTTGGACTACTCTGAAGCCCAATATGGTTTCTCAGATCGTTTGATCTTACCTCGTGGCTGGGAAAAGGGTATGCCCATGCAATTCTTCTTTGTCTGTCCCTTCACTGCTTCATACGAACCTTACTCCTACAACTCCAACTACCTTGCGGCTATCCATTCGATCGTAAAATCGATTAATTTGAATTCTTTGAATTCTCATCAGTATCTGATCAAAAATAACTGTTATTTCCAATTTTCGTAATCTCCGCATTTTCGATTTTTCACCGTTATATGCATATGGTGGTAACCAGGGATGGTCCGTATGACGAACTTTTATGTTTTCGACTGTCAAAAAGGTGTAAACGTCGAAAACGTCATATACATGTATAAAATGTAGAAAACGTCATTTATTCGAATATTATTACCATATACCGTTATTTTCAAAAATACATATTATTTGTACATATATCTGTCTGTTCCTTACTAGAACTAATACAAAATTCTAAACTTTTTGGAGAATTTTTTTTTTGAAATTTTATGTGGATTTCAGTAAAGCATACGTAATTTCCAAATTCATTAATGGAAATAGGTATTTTGTCAAAAACCTAATGGTTTTGGGTGGGTTTCCGACGTTTCTGACGTATGTAATATACGTCGAAAATGTATGTCATTTACGTCACTGTTTCTAACGGACCATCTCTGGTGGTAACGGGCAAAAGGAAACGAGATAGACCCATGATAGCGTGAATCACTTTCGAGGTCGATTTATGCAAACAAAGTACAGGTCGCATTTATAATCCGAATGATATAAAATTTTGCACATTTTGAAATTGTAGAAAATCGGTTCAGTTTGATTTATGTGAAGTTTCGTTAAAATCTATTCAGATTTAGATATAGATTTCATATATTTATGAAATGTAAATGGTGCACCAAATGGTGCACCAAAATCAAAGGTTTGTCTAATTAAGACACAATTTTGCACAGCTTACTGACATAAGTACAGATTGGTGTATGAGAAGTTCGGTTAAAATCAGTTCAACTTCAGACTTAGCTCAAATACACATTAAAACATCTTAGGAGAGTCTCTTATATATTCCCAAAGTGGTGAAGGGTAACAAAGTGATAATTGTTGACCCCGTCCGAGTTTTATACTTTCCTTAATGTCTTTTTGTGTTAGGTGAAATTAAATTGAATACGCAATGACATCTAAAAATGGGACTGTGACAAAAAGTGACAAAGAAGTATAAACAATGTGTGTGTATGATATCGAAGCTCTACCCTAATTATTGCAATCCATATCGTTATTTCAACAGAAAGACGGTCATGGTAAAATGGTAAGAAGAACTCAAACTCAACTCAGCCCTACGACTAATGAGGGTACACTCGATTCCATTCAAACTTTGCACATGTTAATATTTCTTCCAAACTTAGTTTAAGTTCGAAGATAGGGAATATCGGTCCACTCCTTCTGATACCTCCCCCACAAATTGGTCAAAATTATGCTAAAAAATTATTTTATAATAACATGCAAACGGACTAACCGATTTTAACGAAACGTTGTACAATCTTATATCTTTACCAAGCCTAGATCAAGTAGGAAAATGGGACCCATTGATCCACTCTTTCTGGTACCTCCCCCACAGAGGGTCAAAATTTTCAATATTTTTAAATGAAATATTTGGCTAATGGAATGTCCGATTTGAACCAAACTTTGCACAACATATTATCTTTACCAAGCCTAGATGAAGTTTCACAAAGGGTCAACATTTTTAATATTTATGAATCCAATATCAATCCAATATAATGCTTTATAAAAATTTCTCGATATTTCGTGAAAATAGAATTCATTTCAATTAAATATTCAAATAAATACGTCGTTGAAAATGTATATGTAAAAGGCACGTTTATATGTGTATATATAAGTGTGTAGAAATGTGGTTCAACGACACATTGTTATCACAACATAAGTTATTTTTAAAATACCGAATTACTCATACGAGGCATACATAAATACAAATGTGTGTAAACTCTTATCATAATTTTGAGACAAAGCTATGAAAATAAATTCATTAAATTTCCAGATGTGCATAAACATAAATTGCAACCAATAATGATTGGTTTACTTTTTAGAAGTCAAATGAAAGTCAATGTTGATAAGCAATGGAAATATGGCCAAAATACAATCTCACCATAGTATATAAATTGAATTCTGGACAGGTACAAATCAGCAGTCTGATCTGTAGACAGCATTGAACATCGACAAATACATAGGAGTTGTAGTTGCACACCAAATAATGAAAATCGCCATAGCACTTTTGGCCATAGTCGGCCTGGTAGCAGTTAGTGCCTACCCACACAAAAAGGAAACCAAATATGCCGATAAGGACTTTTTGGCCAAACAAAAATTTCTCTTCGAAATTGTTTATCGTGTTGAGGATCCTTTGATGTTCGAGGAATACATTAAATTGGGCAAGACTTTCACCTACAACGACGAAGACTATATGGTAAGTAATTATAAAAAATTAAAACCCAAAAATAGCATATATTTTTAACACTTTAATTTCAGCTCCCTGAACACCACAGCGATTTTATGAAGAAATTCTACAATGCCTACAAATACGGTGTCACTCTGCCCAAGGGTGAATATTTCGGCTCCTTGGCTTACACCCACTTCGAGCAAATGTATGGCTTGTTTGAATTCTTCTACTATGCCAAGAACTGGGAAATCTTCCAACGCAATGTCTGCTGGGCCCGTATGAACTTTAACGAAGGCATGTTTGTCCAAGCCTTGACTTTGGCTGTTATCCACCGTGACGATTTCGGAGGCTTGATGTTGCCCGCCATCTATGAAATCTTCCCTCAATACTTCTTCAACAGCAAATTCATTTACGAAGCTGAGAAATTCGACTTTGATGTCTGGAGCAAATACATCATGTACGAAAAGGAATACAAGGACTTCATGTACAAGGACTACTCCGTATACTTCAAGGAATTCAAGAACTACGAATACTTCTACACCAAGGACTTCAAGATGTGGCAATGGTGGAAACTCATGGGTATGGGTGAACACTGGTACTCCGAAGATCATTTCATGATGCGCGACAACATGTACATGTTCAACAAGGACTCCAAATACTTGGACATGATCAAAGATGTTAAAATGTTCTACATGCCTGTTGACTACACTCGCGATGTTTACTTCTTCAACAAGGAATCTGAAATGTCTTACTTCACTGAAGACGTTGAATGGAATTCATTCTGGTACTACTTCAACATGGAGTACTTCCCCTACTTGGATGGCAAACAATTCGGTTTGGAGAAGGATCGTCGTGGTGAATACTATTTCTATGTTGTACGTCAATTGCTCGCCCGTTACTACATGGAACGTTTGTCTCATGGCTATGGTGAAATTCCTGAATTTTCATTCTTCACTGAAGTCGAATACGGTTATGATCCTCAATTGATCAACTACAATGGTGTTGGCTACTCTTATCGCAAGAACTATTATGAATATGAGACCTATGGTAACTTCGATTACATGTATGGTATTATTAACTTCTTCAGCCGTATTGAGGAAATCATCACCCAAGGTTATTTCAAGACTTACGATGGCAAGATGATTGATATGCGCAAACCCGAATCCATTGAATATCTCGGTGATATGATGCAAGGCAACATTGACAACTACGATAAATATTTCGCTACCTTCTGGTACATGTATGCCCATATGTACTTTGCCCACATTGATGATAGCGAATTCTATATCCACCCCAATGTATTCTTGAACTACGAAACCATGATGCGTGATCCCATGTTCTACATGATCTACAAGAAGATCACCGATGTCTTCTTCGAATTCTACGAATACATTGAACCCTATACCCAAAAGGACTTGTACTTCCCCGGTGTTGAAATTGAAGATGTCAAGGTCAGCGACTTGGTTACCTACTTCGACTTGTTCGATTTCGATGTTACCAACTTGTTGAACGACAAGATGACTTTCGTTGATGGTCAATTTGTATGGGACAAGATGTTGATGGGTCGTCAAATGCGTCTCAACCACAAAGATTTCGATTTCGAATACACCATCAAATCCGATAAGGATCAAAAGGTTGTTGTCCGTGCTTTCTTGGGTCCTAAATTCGACGAATATGGCCGTGTGTTGTCTTTGAGTGAGAACCGTGAAAACTTCATTGAAATCGATGAATTCTTCTATGAATTGAAATCTGGTGTTAACACCTTCAAGCGCAGCTCCAAGGACTTCTACTGGACCTATAATGATCGCACCACCTACACTGAATTGTACAAATTCATTATGATGGCTTATGAGGGCAAATACGAATATCCTTTGGACTACTCTGAAGCCCAATGTGGTTTCCCCGATCGTTTGATCTTGCCACGTGGCTGGGAAAAGGGTATGCCCATGCAATTCTTCTTCTTTGTCTATCCCTACACTGCTTCGTACGAACCTTACTCCTACAACTCCAACTACTACTGCGGTGTTGGCTCTGGTCTTCGTCACATTGATGAGAAGCCTTTCGGCTATCCATTCGATCGTAAAATCGATGAATTTGAATTCTTTGTACCCAACATGTACTTCAAGGATGTCAAGATCTACTATGAAGATACCTTCGAGAAGTACTACGGTTTCAAGCACGATAAATTTGGCGTGTTTGACTATAGCTATTATTATAATTACTGAATTTGGTAAATATCGAGGACATCTGTGTTATAGATTTGTATAGTGTATGTAAATGAAAAATAAAAATATATAAATTAAAATGAAATAATGAAATTAATTTTGTTTTGTTTCAATGTATTGGTGTCTATACCTAAGATCTTTAGTATTTGCAAAAATAAACGTTGTTATCAACACTTCAAAGTACGTGTGCATAATGTCCAGGTCTTTAAAGAAAAAACATTAATGTTATTTTAGTGATAAGAGCATCTTCATCAGCTCAATATAAGCATAAACTAATTACCTTTATGACACAGAAAAATTTTCGTCTTGCTACTGTCTAGTTCATAACAGAATATTTTTAACTAAATCGCCATGAAAACTATATTTGTTCTATTGGCGATAATGGCCGCGGTGGCTTGTGTTAATGGAGTAAAGGGGAACAAGGATTTTTGGCATAAACAAAAATTTCTCTTCGAAATTGTTTATCGTATTGAAGAGCCACTGATGTTTGAGGAATATATAAAATTGGGCAAAACTTTCACATTTGACAAGACTGATTATGAGGTAAGTAAACGTTTGCATTTTTGTTCGACAATTTGATTAATTTGCCACGTATAAAGATTGACAATAAGAGTTAAACAATTTTCGAAAAAATATATATTTATTTAACTTAATAATATTTTTAACGTTCTGACATCAACACACTTCCAAAACGGTCGCGCAAAAACATGTGCATACCGTGGAAGCAATTGTAGGTGTGTTGATTAATTATCCATCGCTACAACAAAAATCTGTTTTAAAAAGGACTGTTCCTAGAATGAGGACAAATGTCGAACTTTGACAAATTTGAATTTAATTCGCATATGCAAATTTCGCATCAGGGCGGAATAAATACAAGTTATCAACGTACGACCTTTGTAAAGCCACATAGCCCAATATGCCTGATGAGCCGCTTAACCAACGGGGAAACGCGTCACATAATGGTGGGTACGTAGGTTCTTCTCCTGGCTTTCCTTTTCATTGCAAAACTTAGATCATCGAGCTCGAGTCGAAAGAGAATTGGTTTTTCGATACTTCCCTTTTTGATTTGTTTTTTGTTTTTTTTTTTTTTTTTTTTTTGAAAAAAAACAAACAAATTTCAGTTCTGAACAATTTTCTGCCCATTATGATTGTCCTGAGCGTAAAGGACAAACAAACTTTTGTTTGGAATAATTTCAGACATTTATTTGCAAATATCCCAAAATCAAATATCGTACATTCTAAATTGTAAATATAAATACCTTTTATAGAAATTAATTAAAAAGAAATTTATTAAATTAAAAAAAAAAAATTATATATTATTTGATAACTCAGTAAATTCGCTTAAAATATAAAAACAAATTTAAACATATATATATATATATATATATATATTTTTTGTTTACTTAGTTCCCTTCCAACTATAACGGTTATCTGGAGAAATACTACGATGCCTATAAACATGGCGTAACATTACCAAAAGGAGAATTTTTTGGAGCTGTCGCCTACAATCAATTTGAGCAAATGTATGGATTATTTGAATTCTTCTATTATGCCAAAACATGGGAAACTTTCCAACGAAATGTTTGCTGGGCTCGTTTACATGCCAACGAGGGGATGTTTGTACAAGCCCTGACACTGACCGTAATACATCGAGATGATTTCCAAGGCTTGGTGTTGCCTACCATTTATGAAATATTTCCCCATCATTTCTTCAACAGAAAATTTGTATACAATGCCGAAAAATTTGATTTCGATGTGTGGCGAAAAAATATTATGTACGAGAAAAAGTACAAGGATATTATGTACAAGGATTATGCCCAGTATTTCCAACAGTACAACAACTACAATTATTTTTATACCAAAGATTGGAAAATGTGGCAATGGTGGAAGCTGATGGGCTTGGGAGAATACTGGTATGCCGAAGAACGTTTTATGATACGCGACAATGTCGACAAAAATTCAAAGTATTTAGATATGTTAAAAAATGTTCGAATGTTTTGGATGCCCGTAGATTATTCACGAGCGATTGACCACAATAACCAGGAATCGGATTTATCCTATTTTACTGAGGATTTGGAATGGAATTCATTTTGGTATTATTTCAATATGGACTATGCTCCATTTTTGGACGGCGAAGCTTTTGGTTTGAACAAGGACCGCCGTGGAGAATATTATGTGTATGTGGTACGTCAAATATTGGCTCGTTATTATGTGGAACGTTTATCTCATGGCTATGGCGAAATCCCGGAATTCTCATTCTTCGAGGAAATAAAAACCGGTTATAATCCCCAGTTGATACACAGCAATGGTGTTGGATATTCTTACAGAAAAAACTACTACGAACTTACAACACATGGCAATTTTGATTATTTGCATAAAGTTTTGGATTTTTTCAAACGTGTGGAAGATATTGTCACGGAGGGGTATTACGTGACCAGTGATGGTGACAAAATATCCATGCGTAAACCAGAAGCTATTGAATTACTTGGCAACATGTTGCAAGGAAATGTGGATAATTACGATAAATACTTTGCCACATTTTGGTATATGTTTGCTCACATGTATATTGGCAATGTTGATGCCACCAGTGATCTTATATATCCTAACATCTTTTTGAATTATGAGACAATGATGCGAGATCCAATGTTTTACATGTTCTACAAGAAAATCACAAATGTATTTAATCGCTTTCACCATTTCATCGAACCTTATACCCATGAAGAATTGAGTTTACCTGGTGTTACAATCGAAAATGCAGAAATTAGTGATTTAATAACTTATTTCGATTTGTACGATTACGATGTCACAAATTTGTTAAACGATAAAATGAATTTTGTAAATGACACATTTATATGGGACACAACGCTGTTGGCACGCCAAATGCGCCTCAATCATAAAGATTTTGACTTCAATATAACCATAAATTCGCAAAGAAATCAAAATGTGGTAATACGTGCTTACTATGGTCCTAAATATAATGAATTTGGTAAGGTCATACCCCTGAATGAGAATCGTGAAAACTTTATTGAAATCGATGAGTTCTATTTTGAACTGAAACCAGGAGTTAACACAGTTCAACGCAGTTCGAAAGACTTTTTCTGGCTTACACAGGATCGCAAGACATACACAGAACTATATAAATACATTGTGGCCGCAATGGAAGATACCAATGAAGTACCAAAATATTTTGTTGAACCACCATGTGGATTTCCGGATCGCTTGGTGCTGCCACGTGGTTGGAAAGAAGGTATGCCAATGCAGTTTTTCTTTTTGGTGTATCCATTTAATGGCAACGACGAAGCCACTTCATATTATGACGCTGCCTATTATTGTGGTGCTGGTTCTGGTGTTCGTCGCATCGATAATAAACCCTATGGCTATCCGTTTGATCGTGAAATTAATGAGCATGAATTCTTTGCACCCAATATGTTCTTCAAGGATGTTAACATATATCATGAAGATATTTTTGAAAAATATAGTGATCAGCATGATAATAAGAATTATGGCAAATTTGATTATAGCTATTATTATAAATATTGAGTAATACAAATATAATAATAAATGTCCATGAATTGTAAATAAAATAAAAATAACAAATAATGTATGGGTGTTTTAATTTATTATTATTTTTACTTTCGGACCTAAAAGGTATGATAAATACAATTTATAACAATCCTTACAAATTTGCAATTTCAATACAATACAGGCAGGCAGGTGAGTCAAATTTGTAGGACCTAAAAGGTCAAATAAATACAATTATTCATCCCTCACAAACAATTTCAATCAATACACCGCCACATTTTGCAATAGTCCCCAAAAAGGACCCACACCATAACACGTATATTGATTGTCACAGTTTTCAACTAATTTTATTATCGACCAATGTTGGTCATATTTTTAGGTATTTTGATGTTCTTTCTCATAGTGTACTTATAATGCTTCGTAGTATACATATTCTTTGAATGTATTTTTTACAGTATTCCTGGCGGAATTCGGCTAATGTCATAATTATATTTCGCATGCAACTTGTTGTTTATTTGAAAATTCGTATGAAATTACTCATTTGATCATTACATTAGATATGTTATTGGACTATTTTTTAATTTCTTTTAATATTGTTGGCCGTCAGTATATACTCACAACTAAGAAAATATTATTTACCTGTAAATAAAAAACAAAGAAATTATTAAATTTAAGTTTTAGTTGGTTGTTTAATATATTTTTTTAGTATCGATAATATAAAATTACATATTATTTATGCCCGACACGGATTATTGTAACCCAAAAAAAAGGATTGTGAATCTATATGTTTGTATTTATAAGTGAAATATAATACCAAATTCCCTATAATAAGGACTTACGTGGTATACGGTATTTTTAAAATGGTAGTCACAACGTTTTTATAGCTTTGTGCAGCCCAAAAGCTTGTAACGCCGCGAAATATTGGTCCTAGACCCACATTCAAGTATACCGATCGTCATATCCGTCTGTCTATTATAATTTGTAAACACGATGCAGGCCACACTTGTGGACCAATCTTTACAAAATTTTGCATGTAGGATGGGTACTGGCCAATGAAGACCCCTATTGTTTTTGGAAAATATCGCTTAATATTTAGAGGATGAAATGGACCAAATGCTCAATTTTTGCCTGTTTTTCTGGTCGCTCCAGAGGCCGCAATTATGGCCAGAACATCGAAATTTTACATGGAGAAATTTTACATAAGGATAAGGAATACGCATGCCTGTTTTGATAAAGATTGGTCAATATTTAGGGGGTCAAATGGACCCTGACTTTTCTTTCTATAGCGTATATATTTGCCCCTGAAGGACATATATCCGGGAAGTTGATAGTATATCCAGGAGGAGTGGTGGCCTTTAAATGATACCAATTATATGGTCGTATGTACTTAGATGTGGGAGTTACAATTAAATATTTACAGGAGTTTACGTACTGAGATATTATTTATTAACCCATTTCCACACTAGAGGACGGAAATATGGCGCTGATCGCTTTGAAATTTTCCATGAGATTCCAGTTGTGGTCATGGACAACGCCTATAATTTTCGGTGATGATCAGATAATAATTTTGAGATGAAGTGCACCGGAAACTTTTTTTTGTTTTTGTTTTTTAGTCGATCAGATCAACACAACTCACGTTGAAGGGAATCTGGACCAGTAATTAAAAGTGCTGTACTGAATATTAGTAATATTGGGAATATATGTCAGTGTAAGAAAGAGGTGAAGGGAATCTGGACAAGTAATTAAAAGGTCTGTACTGAATATTAGTAATATTGGGAATATATATCAATGTAAGGAAGTGGTGCTTTTGACCTCTAATCGGGCAAGCGGGTGCAAATATCACGAAATATTGCCCAGACTCGGAATAAACATCCGCATAAAGTTAGAGTTCCGTTGTAGTTGTGTAGGGTATCGTATGGTCGGCCCTTTTTCGAAAGCACAAAAATATCGGGATTTACTACATCCATGGTTCTTGGTGGACCTCTTTGAAATATGTATAGATCGATGTATTATTTTAAAGTGAACACCGAAGTCGGATGTATGTTTAAGGCGTATGGACTTTTTGGACACTACAATGCAACGTGTACTACACTTTAGCCCAATGAAATTTCGAAAAAAAACTACATGGATTGGAAGATAACCTTCAGTACTTCCTGGACGATTTAGACGAAATTTAAAATGTATATATCATAATATTATTTCATTTTAGGATTATTTCCTATTTTTAGGATCCCACGATTTATTGGAAGAGTCTTGCTGTGTTTCGCAAGGAGTATACTTATACAAAAGAAGTGATTATTTTTATATATCACGAATTTCTGTTACTTTTACAGCGTGCGAAATATAATGGTTTGTTTAGTCAAGAAAAAAATTTTCCGAAATTTCTTTTGCAATTTTTATAAAATAGGTTTATTTTTTTATAAATATGATTGTAAATTTCGGAGATATTAAGCAAAATGTAACCTACGCACGCGCTACAAAAAGTTCCCTTTCAAACTTGGATATCAGTTTCGATATTTCTGCGAATTGAAGGTAGATAAAATTGTGGATTTTTTTTTTGCAGCTATAAGGGATTATTCAAGATTATACTGACATGACATGGGTGGCGTAGGGGATGATAGATACCAAGCAACGGCTCTGATTGGCTTTAACATGGGGAAGTCCAGGCTAATCTTGGATCCTCTTTCATCTCAATTGTGGACACTGAGCTCCCCGCGGTGCCACCTGGGGAGCTATGCTCATCATCCGATGAAATAGTGAGCTAATAAGTGCCGAGAGTTCACCCATAAGAACTATAAAAAATGGGTTGAGGCGTCGGGTTTGTTGCCCTCTCTCGAAAAAACCCAACCTACTATGAAAAAGCTAAGAAAGAGAAAACCAAACCCCCCTAATGTTGACAACCCCCGCAAACGTATAAAGGACCACGATCTGCGAATCTGCACTTGGAATGTGCGCAGGTTGTACAGAACAGGCGCAGTGTTCGCTTTGGCGGATGTACTCAAGAAGTACAAAGCCGATATTATTGTCTTACAGGAAATGCGATGGAAAGGGACAGGCGTAAGTAAATCAGACGATTACGCCCTGTATTATAGCTGCCATGAAACGATACATGAATTTGGCTACGGATTTATGGTTAACAGGAGAATAAAAGACCTCGTCTCCAGATTCACTCCAGTAGATGAGCGAATTGCTATAATCCGTATAAAAGCGAAGTTCTTCTACATCAGTTTCATTTGCGCCCATGCTCCGACCGAAGATAAAGATGAACAGATCAAATACATATTTTACGAGCGCCTAGAAACCGCATATGACCGCTGCCCTGACCATGACATTAAGATTCTGCTAGGAGATTTTAATGCAAAAATCGGAAGGGAAAAGATCTTTGGCCCCACCGTCGGAAAATTCAGCCTTATGAAGAAAGCTCCAATTGCAAAATTGATTATATTATATTACAATAATATTACCAGAAAATGGCTTAATATGCCATTTAGACTATGATATGATATTTAGTCAAATTAATTTCATACCACCATACAATTGGCATTTTGTGTTTTTTTTTTATCAAGCCGTTGATGTGTACCGTTTGTTGCTAAGCAATTTGTTTGTTTGATGAACAAATAATATGTTTATTGTATTTTTATTGTTTATTATTTTTGGATTTTTATGAAACATGTGTAGGGAAAATAGATAAGGCCCATGAAATAATATAACAATTATATAATACTTCTAATTGAGTACCGCACGAGTAAGTAGTATTACCTTAAGAAAATTAATTAACAGACACAATTTATGGTTGATAAATATTAGCAAATCTTTTAATCTGTTTTTTGTATATTATAGAACATTCTTCACATTTATATACAATCGAACAGAAATTTAGAAGAAGAAAAAAGTCGGACAAATGGGTCAAATGGTGATAAATTCACAAATTACGATTTCGACAATAGCTACTTATCAGCATCGATTTAAAAACAAAGATGTGCCCACCTGCTTGATAAGCTCAGCTTGTTCATACTGTCAGAATCATATAAAACGATGTTAAAGCCTATCCAACAACAGCAGTCTTTAGGTATTGGTTGTGGTCGCAAGATCTTCACTAATCCGTGGACAGTTTCTGATTCCCAAAGTTGACGAATAGCAGCAGTTCATTGAAAAATGAAAATCGCCATTGTCTTATTGGCCATAGTTGGCCTGGTAGCAGCCGGAACCCTTCCCAAGAAGGCTACGAAATATGCCGACAAGGATTTTCTTGCCAAGCAAAAGTTCCTCTTCGAAATTGTATATCGCGTTGAGGATCCTTTGATGTTCGAGGAATACATTAAATTGGGCAAGTCCTTTGTATTCCACAAGGATGACTACATCGTAAGTACACGAACGATAACCATGTCAAGCAACATTTGTAAGAAATCCTTTTTTCCAGTTCCCTGAGAAATATGATGGCTATATGGAGAAATATTACAAAGCACACAAACACGGTGTTACTTTGCCCAAGGGTGAATTCTTTGGCGCCTTGTCGTATACCCACTTCGAACAGATGTACGGCTTGTTTGAATTCTTCTACTATGCCAAGACCTGGGAAATCTTCCAACGCAATGTCTGCTGGGCCCGCATGTATGCCAACGAGGGCATGTTTGTTCAAGCCTTGACTTTGGCTGTTATCCACCGCGATGATTTCGTTGGTTTGATGTTGCCCACCATCTATGAAATCTTCCCTCAACACTTCTTCAACAGCAAATTCATCTACGAAGCTGAGAAATTCGACTTTGATGTGTGGAACAAATACATCATGTACGAAAAGGAATACAAGGACTTCATATACCAGGACTACTCCGTTTACTTCAAGGAATTCAAAAACTACGAATACTTCTACACCAAGGACTTCAAGTTGTGGCAATGGTGGAAACTCATGGGTATGGGTGAACACTGGTACAGCGTTGATAAGTTCATGCTACGCGACAACATGTACATGTTCAGCAAGGATTCCAAATATATGGAAATGATGAAGGACGTTAAGATGTTCTACATGCCCGTCGACTACACCCGTGATATTGACTTCTTCAACAAGGAATCCGAATTGTCCTACTTCACTGAAGATTTGGAATGGAACTCCTTCTGGTACTATTTCAATATGGATTATGCCCCCTATTTGGATGGCAAGTACTTCGGCTTGAACAAGGATCGTCGTGGTGAATACTACTTCTATGTTGTTCGTCAAATGCTTGCCCGTTACTACATGGAACGCATGTCTCATGGATATGGTGAAATTCCTGAATTTACTTTCTTCAATGAAATCGAATACGGTTATGATCCTCAGTTGATTGACTATAGCGGTGTTGGTTATTCTTACCGTAAGAATTACTATGAATATGTTACCTATGGCAATTTCGATTATGTCTACAAAATGCTTGCTTTCTTCAAACGTGTTGAAACTATCATTACTGAGGGTTACTACACCACATATGATGGCAAACAGATTGATATGCGCAAACCTGAAGCCATCGAATACCTCGGAGATATGATGCAAGGCAATGTTGATGCCTTCGACAAGTACTTTGCCACTTTCTGGTACATGTACGCCCATATGTTCATCTCGCACGTCGAAGAAGACGATATGTATGTCTTCCCCAACGTTTTCATGAACTACGAAACCATGATGCGCGATCCTTTGTTCTACATGTTCTACAAGAAGGTCTCAGATGTGTTCTTCCAGTTCTACGATTTCATTGAACCTTATACCTATGAGGAATTGTACTTCCCCGGTGTTGAAATTGAAGATGTTAAGGTCAGCGACTTGGTCACCTACTTCGACTTGTACGATTTCGACGTCACTAACTTGTTGAACGACAAGATGACTTTCATCGATGGTGAATTTGTATGGGACAAGACCTTGTTGGCTCGTCAAATGCGCCTCAACCACAAAGCCTTCGAATTCGACTACAACATCAAATCCGACAAAGATCAAAAGGTTGTTATTCGTGCCTTCTTGGGTCCCAAGTATGATGAATTCGGTCGTGTTATTTCATTGAATGAAAATCGCGAAAACTTCTTGGAAATTGATGAATTCTATTATGAATTGAAATCTGGTATCAATAGCTTCAAGCGTAGCTCTAAGGACTTCTACTGGACAACTGATGATCGCACCACCTACACCGAATTGTACAAGTTTGTTATGATGGCTTATGAAGGTAAATACGAATTCCCTATGGATTACTCTGAACCTCACTGCGGCTTCCCCGATCGTTTGATCTTGCCTCGTGGCTGGGCCAAGGGTATGCCCATGCAATTTGTCTTCTTCGTCTATCCATTCAAGGCCTCGTTCGAACCCTATTCGTATGACTACAACTACACTTGTGGTATTGGCTCAGGTGTCCGTCACATCGACGAAATGCCTTTCGGTTATCCCTTCGATCGTGAAATCAACGAATATGAATTCTTTGTGCCCAACATGTACTTCAAGGATGTCAAGATCTATCACCAAGACACCTTTGAAAAGTACTACGGCAATGAATACGAACATTTCGGTTCATTCGATTATGGTTATTATTACAACTATTAAATGGTTAATGACTACATATGATGTAGATAAAGAAACTTAAAAAACAATTGAACGAAATAAAATTATAAAAAAGTATGATAATTGTTTATATTTTAAATTATTTTGGAACTGGGTGGATTGTTAGGTTAAAACTATAAGATGAAAAAAAAAAATACATTTCATTCAAAACAATTTTATTGTAAGGAAGTTAACGATGTGTGTAAAGTTTCGTAAAAATCGGTTCAGATTTAGATATAGCTCCCATATATATTTTTGCCCGATTTAAGGTAAATGGTGTACCAAATTCCCTATATCATTCGATTTGGTTCAGTTAGCTCCCATATGTAGTTTCGCTCGATTTTAGGTAAATGGTATGCCAAAGTTCCTATATATCTTCCAATGTGCTCGAAATTTGGAATAGCGTATTGATTTGAGTCTAGAATGATGTGTGTACAAGTTCTTGACAATCGGTCTAGATTTGGATATAGATCCCGTATATATGTTCGCCCGATTTTAAGTAGGACCCAAAATATGGCCACTAGGAACAAAACCTTCTGAAATTAGTATAACCTAACCTGTGACAAGTTTCGTTCAAATCAAATCATATTTGGATATAGCTTCCCTATCTATTTTCATCCGATTTTAAGTAAATGGTGCACCAAACTCCTCATGTTTATAATATTGACACGAAATTTTGCACAACGTACAAAATTGAGCATTTTGATGTTTTTGATTGTAACAAACGAATGACATGTTTATGGATTAATATAAGTCGGTTCACATTTTGATAAAGGTCACATATTTTAGTTCATCCAATTTTAAATTAATGGACCTTCTATTAAGGTGTTAGGATTCGTTTAATATACCCATAGTGGTGAACGGTATCATATAGTCGGTCACGTCCAACTTTACTACTTTCCTTACTGTTTTTTTTTACGTTCGCAATAAATATTTTTTTTTATATTTTGTTCTTGTAATTTAAAGGCCTTGGTCATAAGAGATTACATATATATATTTTTTTCCTTTCAATAACTAACTATATTTGAAGTCCATTGTGCGTTGTGTCAACATTGTTTTTTTTTTTTTTTTGCTTAAATTGATTTTTACTGGTTTTAGTAACTAACTATATCTGATTACCGCGGCGTTTTACGTGTCTCTAGATTCGATCGTAATACAATTTTTGGTTGATGCGCATAAATGTTAAATTTAAAAATATATAGTTAATGTTGCCCAAAAGTGTTATATATGGTTTATATCATAAAATTAAACTACGAAGATATTACAAAGTTTATGAAACAAAATTTTTTCCACAATTCGCGTAAACGACGCACGATGTTTCAGAAATCGATTTTCCTAGTCAAACCCCCATTTTTTCGTCATCGAATTTTAATGTATGAATGGGATTACATAGTAAACATATTGAAAGAAAAATGAGGTAAAATATTGGAACATGTTGGCATGACATGTCTCTTAAAACAAAAATGTTCTATTTCTCAGAAATTACTTTTTGGCGAAGTTATTCTTTCGGTTGCAATTACGATAGTTTCCAAGTTTAAGATGGAGCTTTGTGCACAAATGGGATATATAGTTCAACATTTTAATATAGCCGCATTATTTGGTATTTTGGTGATTTGTAGCCAGTTCTCCAACATAATTAGCCCGAATTTAGTATTTAATATCAGTATTGCTACATTTTTTTAAGGTAACCTACGTATAACTGTATATTGTGGGTTCTCATTGGGTAGAAAATCTCCCAAATAAAAATTATCAATATTGGACCATGATTTTGGGGTAGCCTCATAACCCCCAATCTTAGGCATTTCAAACTTATCGACGATTTACCATTATTTATTGCAGTTTTACTTTTTCTAAAAATTCCAAAAAAAAATCATAAAATAATTACAAAAATCAAAGATGAACTAAGACCTTGAAGTTCTCTGCCACTAGTGCTTCTTATTATCCGTACCACCTTTTGGCAAGAATTCATGATGCACATGCCACACAGTGTCACGACCGAGGCCAAAAATGGTCAAAACCAACTTCCTCGGAGGACAAATTTATTGATAAAAATTTATAGAAAACACTCAACACTGATAATTGTTGGCGAACTGTTTTTTCACTTTTTTCGAAAAAATATTTAAATTTTTCTGAAACATGGGATGTTAAAAACTAAGATTCACTGTTTTTTTTTTAATTTTTCATGGTTGCTTTTGAATTAGATTTCGTCAGCTTAAAGATTATAATAATTTTACGCATTATTTAGTCCTTCTTAAGGAAAACTATAGTTTAAATTTAGGCAACGCACTTGCATTACCTTTATTGAAACTTCTTCGTACATGGTATTGTAGATGTATAGTACAGTAGTGGCATTCACAAGATGCTATCAAGCCATGCCACAAAATAAATAGGAGCAACCCGAATATTTGGAAGAACCGAGTCAAATAAGATTTTTTTTTTTCAGTATTTTATATAACAATCCGACCCTGTTATATCCTTGAACAGGCAATAAATAAATTAATAAAAATAACAATACAAATATATCGGTGAATAGTGATTTTATGGTATAGAATAGTGGGTCTCATGCATAAAAACGAGTAAAAGCGATGAGATGAGTCAAGTAAGCAATTGCTCGTAAGTTGAGTTAGATCGAACAGCAGCAGCTTTTGCTCAATTTCGTATGCATAAAAATGAGTTCAAACCAATTGCAATTACTTTAGCAAATTGAGATCAAACTTCTAATTGTTATTGAAGTGCTAACATGTCGTCAAGTGGAACAAAAAAATTAAAGAAAAAATATTTACTTGAAAAAAGTCAGTTACCAAGCATTAAAAATAAGAAAAAAATAAATAACTCCAATTGCTAATGGAAAGCAAAAATTTGCTTGCCATTTTATTTGACCATCTTTTATTTCATCTGTACCTTTCGGGAATTTTATCCACTTGTTTGCTTTGCCAGATATAAGTTTTGCAACACCCGTAATTGTTCACGACAAAGTTGATTGATGTACTCCAATATCTTTGGCTATACCATTTTGGAATTCAGGATCTACACATAATCTTATACAGAGTCGAAGTTTATCAATGTTGCTGAGGGTACCACCACGCATTTCTTCTGACTCCTCAAAAAAATAATTCGCTAACTAGCAAATGTTGCTACCATCCAGATTCTCTTTACTCTGGCCCGATTCCCTTCTCCAAGTAAAATTTCGCGATGTTTGGGCCATAATTGCGGTCTCTGGAGCGACCAGAAAATCAGACAAAAATTACGTATTTGATCCATTCCATCCCCTAAATATTAACAGATGTTTACCAAAAACAATAGGGGTCATCATTGACCAGAACCCATTCTACATGCAAAATTTCGTGAAGATTGGTCCATAACTGTGGCCTGTATCGTATTTACAAATTATAATGGACAGACGGACGGACGGACACACATGGGTCTAGGACCAATATTTCGCAGCGTTACAAACTTTTGGGGCTGCACAAAGCTATAATACCCTGACAACATAGTTGTGTAGGGTATAATAATAATTAAGATTACAAACTTTTTATCCTCACTTGCTAAATTTGTCTTACGCTGTTGATAACATTTTTTGTTATTGGTACAAAATATTTAGCCATGATTCCTTTTTAGTGTACGCGAGTCAACTAAGAGGCAAGCTCAACAAAAGTTAAGCAAGAGCTCACAAAAGTAAGCAAAAGCTTCTTTTTATGCATATGAAAATGAGAACAATCTCATCCAACTTCAATTTCTAAGTTCAAACTGAGCAAGAAGAGATCAAACGTGGGCAGTGTGTAAAATCAATTACATCAAATTTTATTATGCATACGACAAACACCTTTTACTCAAAAAATCGAGTCCGAGCTCAAGCTCAAGTTTTATGCATGAGACCGAGTTACTTATTCAGAAATGTAATTACTTATTCAGGGTCTTTTGTATGATAACACTCCTGAAATGTCAACCAACAACTAAATTGCAACACTTATTAGTGTCTTCGTCCAAATTTTAAATATTTTGCAAGACTCTTTGTATGAGAAGTATACCAAAATGAACGTGCATTACATTGAAGTCTTTTTACTTTGCTGAAGACATGAAAGATAAGAAAATTAATTTCATATTTTTGACAACAAACCAAGTTAGCAAATAAAGAAGATCATGAAATTTTAGATGGCCATTCTTTGAATTAAGGGAACCCCCCATTCTCGATTTTTTTATTTTTAAGATTTGAAATAGGTTGGTAAATGAATACCAATGATAGTTAATGTTTTTAACTTTACACATATATATTTGAGGAAGAAAACTAATTTAGAAAAAAAATAAGTTGTTGTTTTTTGGGATCAAAGAAAAGTCCTTATATAATTCCTCAATGGAACTTCGGAATCCGAAAATTCCAACGGTGTTAGAAAGAGTACCTGTCTGGCTCTCGTATGAACTAGGATTATTGACTTCGCACAACAATTAACAATATGGCGGAACCTTGAAAATTGGGAAAATCGCCTATTTTTGACCACAAACTTAGTTAAAAATAAGGAAGATCTTCGCCGATTGGCTTTTTCATACCATAGCTATACACTCACAGAGAAACGTACCTAAATTTGAAATCGGAAGAATCGGAATTCGAAAGAAAACACTGTTTGGAGAAAAACGCGTTTAAAGTTTGAGAAGCCCTCTTGCCGTCACTTGATGCTGACACAATAAATCGGCTATATCTTCAGAAATTGATGAGATTTTCATTTGAAAATTTATAGGGACATTGTTGAATTAGTGAATGGGGGGTCCCCTTTAATAAAAAAAAAACAAAATTTAATTTTTAGAAACCGGGAATGGAAGGTTATCTTTAAACGCATTTGTCTCGAAATGTCGTTTTTAAAGTCGAAACTGGCTCTATCGATATATCATATCATTTTGTAGACCTACATAATTTTATTTTTATTATTTTATAGGTATCCAAAAACAATGTCGGCTAATTTTTGGCATAAATTCTGTCATATTATTAAATTTTTTACAAAGTAAATATTTTTGAAATGAGATCGCTCACAGACAG